GTGATCCTGCACTACACCCACCTGTCTTGCTAGTGATCCTGAACTACACCCACCTGTCTTGCTAGCGATCCTGCACTACACCCACCTGTTATGCTAGTGGTGGTAAACTACACCCACCTGTCTTGCTGGCGATGTTTCGATCCCCAAATTTAAAATATGAAAAAAATCGTCCGTTTTTAAATAAGAGTCAATTTCAACTATTTATGAAATATTTGGGTAATTACTGAAACACTTTCTGAGACACTTTTCCCAGCATCATCTCATACAGGAGAAATATGCGTCTTCAAATTAAATCTATTATTATATTTTATTATATATACAGAGGGGTATACTATAACGAATAATTGGTTGTATAACCTCGTTCGTTATAGCGTTCGTTCTTTATAATGGTAATCCATTCCAGGTCCACAAATGCAAATACATAACAATGTAAAATTGTAAAAAGGTGCATAAATGTGCATTTATTTAAACTACTGAAATAAAGAATGTCATTAATACGTGCAATAAAAAAAAATAAATTAGTACAAAAAATAATAAGAAATACTGTACTTTATGGTAGCTCAGTGTTGTTGAGCATCAGGACAGGAAGTAGAGGAGGAGAATTACTGAGAAGAGATGGAACTAGTGGAGTCATCCTAGTTCTCTGTGGTGACTCCTTCAGGCAGTTCCTTTGTAGGATCTTTTTGAACTTTTCAATATTTTCAATTTTATAGGGAAAACCGTTCGTTATGTAAATATTCGTTATATAAACCATTCGTTATAGAATACTCCCAGTATATAAATGTGACTGGATGTCAAGACAAGTGTCTCTTTGACGTCACTAATTTACATACCTATAAAGATTCTTTTATCAACGACGACGTTAAAGTTGAATGTGAGTAAAGTGTATTATGTATCGTACGCCAGGCAGGTGCCAGATGTAAACAATGTTGAATGCGAGTTAAGTGTATTATGTATCGTACGCCAGGCAGGTGCCAGATGTAAACAATGTGAATGCGAGTTAAGTGGATTATGTATCGTACGCCAGGCAGGTGCCAGATGTAAACAATGTTGAATGCGAGTTAAGTGTATTATGTATCGTACGCCAGGCAGGTGCCAGATGTAAACAATGTTGAATGCGAGTTAAGTGGATTATGTATCGTACGCCAGGCAGGTGCCAGATGTAAACAATGTGAATACGAGTTAAATGTATTATGTATCGTACGCCAGGCAGGTGCCAGATGTAAACAAACTTTGTCATGTAATAATTGTACACATCAAACGTTTACAATCCAAATTCGTGAATTATATATGACAGATGAGAATGAATTTGAGGAACTGTTCCTCTGTGGTATATGTTCATCTTACCCAACAATAAAGTTTACTACATAAATTTTCTAGTAAACAAGTCCAATACATCACAATATACGTGTCCCGTAGCTCGATCGGTAGCGCACTCAGCTCACACACTGAGGTCCGGGGTTCGAATCTCCTCCGGTACGGCTGGAAAACAATAGGGACGTGTTTCCATAAGACACCTGCTGTCCCTGTTCACCCATCAGTTCAAAATGGGTACCTGGGTGTTAGTGGACTGGTGTGGGTCGCATCCTGGGACAAAACTGACGTAATTGCCGAAATGCTCTGCGTAACAAGCGGCATTGTTCAAATTAGTAGTCATGTCACTGATGTACTAGGATGTATCTAGTAGCAGGTCCTGTATAAATAATATTATTATTTTATTTTATTTTAAAATTTTATTATTAATTTTAATTATTTATTATTAAATTATTAATTATTATTTATACGAAAATATTTGGTATTTTTCAATTTACTTACCCTCACTCGAATGTTACCACCATAACCAATCCAACCTCACGCCATACACTACCCTCATCCCATAACTCACACAAACCCTCACGTCAAACCCCACCCCTATCAGTTCAATCATACCCCGACACTACCCCCTGAAATAAACCTACACATTACCTACACCACACTATCCTGTACCCCATAACAGACATTAGCTCACCGGACTACTTAAATATCCATAACAACATAGCCCTAACCCCATTAACACCACACTAGACCTCTAACCCCACATTAGACAAACCCCTCCACTACTAATCATTTCACCCAATATAATATAACATTACCTTCACACCGTCACTAACCTCTACCCACCAAAGTACCCCTCAACCCCACAACCCCAACCTCTCCCAACTACCCTCATAATCCAAAACCCCAAATACCTCACCCATAAACCCCACAGCTACACACTCACCCCATTAACCACACTAGCCCTCATCCATAACCCAACAACTATCTCCCCAACCATAACCCCAACTACCCCTCACCCAAACAACCACCCTCTCGAAAACACCACCCATTCACCCCCAACCCCACAGACCTCTCACCCCACAACCCCACACTACCCTACCATAACCCACACACCTCCACCCACACTACACCCTCCCCAACCCCACCACTACCCCTCACCCCAACCCCACACACCCTCACCCCA